ACTGTACATAAGAACTTTATCACACATAATCGTGACTTTAAAAATTAACATATATTTATTCCATTAAAAAAAACAGCTGTATAACAACAAAACAAAAACAAGTGTATATTCACCACAGCCATTCCAGACCTTTTACATGTCAAGCCATGGACGGCACCCAGCAGCACCATTTATTGGTCGGATGGGTTGGGGGGGGGGGAATTAGCCGGGATAGTAGAGTTTAAAATGATGTTTTTTTTAGGGCAGTTTTGAAGGCCTGTGTGATCAAAATATTTAGGATGTGTAGCCGGAGGGAATTCCACTGTTTGAAGGTGCAGAATTAGAAAGATCATTTTTAGTTTGTGTCTTGGAAACGGAATGAATACGCGTGTCTGCAGAGGAGTGGAGCTATTGAAGGGGTGAATAGACAGAAATAAGTTCCGTTAGATAGGAAGGGCAGGAATCCGAGAAAAAAAGTGTTACAGAGAATAGAAAGCGTGTAACCAATGCGTGCCTGTATGGTTCTGGAAGGTCGTGCGTTTAAAAGTTTAATGGAAGGAGTTTCATAGTTTTAGGAAAAAAAATACAAATTGTCCAGAAAATCTAATTTTTTGTATGTTAAATTAGCTCGTGAAGCAAACATTCCTTTCAATTATTAATATAATATTACATGTTTAAAATTGACATTCGTTAAACATTTTAAAAAAATAAAGCTCCTGGGGGACAGCTGATGTAATTTTTAGAATATGTTGGTCAAATATACAAAGAAACACGTTTAAAATTTAAGGAAACAAATTTTGGTTGGACCATCATTTTTTTAACTGTTGGTCTAAAGTTATATAATATTATATACATCGCTAATTGGCAACCAGCTTTTAAGCATGTACCTTATGTAACATCTGTTTATTATATTTTTCAGAGGTTAAAAGGCCACAAGGGAAAGAGAGCTACAACTTTATGTTGCTTGGGAAAACAGGCGCAGGGAAAAGTTCCACAGGAAATACTTTGCTAGGTCGTCAATGTTTTAGGATTTCACATTCTTTTACATCATGTTCAGAAATATCAGGGAAAGAATGTAATGAGTTTAGCAACTATATATTTAAGGTTGTAGACACACCTGGTATCCATGACATGAATACTAGTAAGTATGAAATATTAAAGAATATCAGCGAGGGAATAAGCCTAATTCCCGAGGGATTCAATGCTTTTTTATTTGTACTGAAACTTGGTGAGAGAGCAACAAGGGAGCTCACTGAAACAATCAATATTTTAAAAGCCTTATTTGGGGACTCACAGTTCCAGAAGTCCTGCATTATCGGTTTAACTTATGGCGATTGTTCTGACGATATCAATAACGACAATATTCAAGAGTGGTGCAAAAATGAAGACAATATCAAAGTCGGCTCTGTATTTGGGACATTGTTGAGAGAATGTGATTATAGAGTTGTCTTATTTTACAATAGACATGCGGATAAACGCGAGGAGAGTGTCAGCAAACTTTTGAGTTATGTCAACCCACAAGCCCCTCGTTACACCAACGAACACTTTCAAAAGTGCGCCGATGCTAGGGACGCCTATATGACCAGTTTGGGTCTTCCCGAACAAAGAGCTAAAAAAAGTTGCATTGTGCAATGATGGCAAAGAAAGAAGTCAAACTGAAAGGCACCAACTCAAAGTTCATTTGTGTTGCTTTAAACTGTTTCGGCAACAATCCACTAGAGGTTGGCTACGGTGCAAGAGTCGCAGATCGTTTATTAGGTTTTACAAATTTCCTTATCCGCTGTTGGATTCTGATGTTTGAAGTATTTTAACTATAAACAGCGGTACTGGTTTATATAATAAATACGGATTATATAAATACCGGTACACGATTATTTGCTTTATATGGATTATATAAATCCACTGATGATGATGGATTATATAAACAGTAGTACTCATTTATACGCTTGAAATTTAAAAAGAGGAGAAAATGAGATTCCCTCTAACTCGCTTAGTTGATTGGAATTTAATGATTAGAAACATGATTTTTAGTTGGCTTTAAATTTATAATTTTTTTTAATGTTACAGATGTGAATATATAGCTAAGGCGTTTTTCTCATGTGTGCATAATACAACCCAGAGGTGTGAAAGGCATTAGGAATGGTGGATATTGAGAATTTTTTTAAACGCTGGAACCAACAAAAATTTAAAACAAAAATTTAAAATTAAAAAGATTATCAAATTATGTATACTACATATTCGATTTTATAAAATAACAGCTGATTGCATGTTTATTTTGTTTGAATGCTATGTATAGATCTCCCGTCTGCTTCATTCTGAATATATAAAAATATATATATATATATATATATATATATATATATATATATATATATATATATATGTGTGTGTGTGTGTGTGAATATATATATATATATATATATATATATATATATATATATATATATATATATATATATGTGTGTGTGTGTGTGTGTGTATAATTTTTTAATGAAAGTTCAGAAATCTGAAATATTTAAAACAAAGTATTTTATCATAAATCTCCAGCCATCTACAATGTGGAAAGAAAATCAGGCACATTGACATGTTTTAACGCAGCAGTAGATGATTTTGTAGTAAATTTTGTTTACGCAAATGTCTACCGTCGCATCAAAGAAAACGTGGAGATCACAAATAAAAAAATAATGTGCACTTAATTCTATTTGTTATTCCTCTCTAATCATTGTATAATTAGTCCCTCCTTATATTTAAATCTTGTACATAGTATTTTAATTCTGTCTTCAAAAGCGCTGTAAGTTAATAAAGAAAACCGTGTTTTTGTTTTGTTTTTAATCTTTTGAACGTGTTAAAATATGTATATGCATTCGAGTCCTGTTGAAATTTTTGGGAAGCTCTAAGATATAAAGACGACACGATTGCCCATAGAGTAGAAGAGAAGGAGGAGACTGTCGCGCATTGAGTAGAAAAAAAATGAGATCGGTAGAGGGAGTGTCAAACATATCAGGAAAAAACATGGTAAGTATATAAATTATGACCTTTATTTTTACCTTATAGAATCAACGTATGCACCCACTTTATAATGTATGCATTCTACATTGAAATGAATTCTGTTGTACTCATAACACACAAGCCGCCCGTAATTTGTTCACTTTAAAAAAAACAACATAATGTTTAATGAATGACGAATAGGGACACAAAATATATTTGAAAATGTGGAGTTTAATAGACATGTCACCGTTGAGAGGAATTAAATAGAGAACAAAGGTTGAATAAAGTTTACTGTTTCATTTTTTTATCCCTGCGAAACTGATCAACAAAATTTTGTTGAACAATTAAATAGTTTTAAAAGTGTGTAAAATTTACCATTTAAAAAATAGAGTTTCCTTTCATTCTCAAACTTTGCTAATCTAAGAATGAAATCGATCACGCGAGACATTTCTAGAACATTCTTCTCTTTTACTTCGTATACGGGACTACGTATTTCGTCTGAGCTAGTAACTGCTTATTTGATCTATCTATCTATCTATCTATCTATCTATCTATCTATCTATCTATCTATCTATCTATCTATCTATCTATCTATCTATCTATCTATCTATCTATCTATCTATCTATCTATCTATCTATCTATCTATCTATATATATATATATCTATCTATCTATTTATCTATATATCTGTCTGTCTGTCTATCTATCTATCTATCACCTATCTATATATATATCTCTCTATATATATAGAGAGTGAGAGAGAGAGAGAGAGAGAGAGAGAGAGAGAGAGAGATTTTATTGATGTCCTCTTCAGCATACCCTTGATGTCACGGTACACTACCAGACTGTAGTTATACATTTCAGCTGCAGCCTGGATTTCACATTGTTGTCAGCATATGTCGTACGGAGGGGACATATGAGCGTGGTATTCCGCCATGGTTCAGTAGCATGGTTCAGTAGATGTTGCAAGACGGACCCATTGTGTGCCCAAAGAACCGTTGTCAGGTGATAGAAATGTGATGCACGACATTGGTCAGCAAGCGGCAGAGATCCGCACATAAAGGAGTCCCCCCTTACAGGCACAACACGGTGAGGTACCATGATGACGTCAACTGCAATAAGCTCCATGCATCTTGTCCATTTACTGATAATTTACTATAACGTTTTGGGAAAAAAAAAGCAGTTAGTGTCAGCTTCCGTAAATAAATATAGCAGATATCATTCTATGATGAAGCTCCATACGAAAAAAATGGTATTTATAAATTTCACTTCTTAGTGTACCTATAGAGTGCAGAGATTCCCAAAAAATGGTCTAAATTGATCACCAGGGGTCGACGACAACTTGCAAGAGGGTCCATGTCAGCGAAAAACAAAAATCGGAGGTCCATGAAATGAACATGCGGGTCAACGATAGTGGATCTCAAGCAAGCAGGTCGTGACTTCTATAATGGCAATCCATGAATGGAATAATCCACACACACAGATAGTACCTATTTGCTTAAATAATATTACCTTATAATATAAAGACATATATCTTCCTACATAAATTATAAAATGTACCTATGAAGTAAAAATTTAAAAAACACAAATGTTCATGAAACATGATGAAGAATCAGATTAAAATTTAAGTCATTAGGTATATTTTCTGATATATGAAGCTGTTTAAGAATTATTATAAACCAGCTGTTTCCCCGCAGTTACGCCTGCGTAAGTTTTTATTTTCTCTGAGTGCAAGGTTTTATTTTGTTTAAAAAAAAAATGTAAAAAATATTCTTCCGCAGTAAATTGTCGCCTGTGTCAACTCTTTAGCTAGCTAGACCTCCAACTTTATCGGCGCACAAGATTACGGAGATTTTTTTGCTTGGTTTTTACGTGAAGTTTCTGGAGGCTAAAGATAAAATCTTAAAAGAAAATTTAATGAAGTGTTAAACAGACATTGCCTATTTAACAGATTTTAATTTACTCAACTTAATTTGGTTAACTTGTAGTTACAATCTGAAAGTCTAAATTTGATTAAAACAAAGTCTATAATTTCACCGTTTCTTGCCAGAATTAATCTAATGAAGCAAAACATTGGGCGGTGCGAATTTTCCCAGTTCCCCAATTTGTCAAAGACAATCTGCCAGGAAGACGACATTTCAAACTACGTTCAACATTTAAATGACCTCTCTTCAGATTTTGAAACTAGGTTTGAGGATGTTCTGACTATGGTGATACCACAGTTGATAATCAATCCATATGGTGACATTGAAGAAACCGATGTCATATTACAAGCGGAGCTGATCGGAATAAGCACTAACGAAGACCTTATGGTACAGCTTAGAAACGGGTAGCGGTAATTCTGGTTTCCAAAAGACAGACCTGTTACGTGTCCTGTATTATGGGATATCGCGAGAAAGTTTGTAATTGCTTTTTCCATCCTCATACCCAGTGGAAAGGGGTTTCAGTGCAGTTACTGTTCTCATAACAAAAAAATAAGAAACAAACTGGACACCATTAACCGAAGAGATTTGGGATTAAACCGAACTTAATTGCCGCCAAATGGTGAACTAAAAGATCAGGTTCATCCCTCACACTAAAAGCATTTATTTTGTGCGTATTTATTTTATGTAAAAAAAAAAAAAAGTAAATTTTTATTTGTTTCGTCTTAATTTGAATTTAATTAATAAATGTATATAACTTAACATGTTTTTGTTAAAGTTTTTCACAATTCACTACCGTTATAAATTTAAATCTTTCAAAGGGAGTAGCACTACACTTGCTGTTAAAAATACATTTGAAGGTAATGAATTTTCAAAAAATCAATCTTAGGTAACCAGAGAGTCTACCCAAAACCAAAAAAAAAACATGGCAAGTGGTCTACGGGACAAAAAAGTTTGGGGACCTCTACTATAGAGTATAAAAGGCGATACAAGAGAACCAATTTTATATTTAAGACCTTTTTTAAGACGTGTCTGTGTGTGTCTAGGTTATATGAGGAATTTTCCGTGCAAAAAGTCACATTTATATCGTTGTTTGTTCACGAAACTGTTACTAGATGGGGTAGCGACTTCTCAGCTGGATGCCTTTTCCCCCTAGCAAGATCCCGTTCCTTCGATGGGATCACCTTGCCGATGTTATCCTGTTCCCCCGATGAAATAATAACGGATATTTTTAAACACTTGGCCCAAGATCCATCATAACGTTGAAGCGTATACTGTAACTTAAAACTTCCAAGTCGTGCTTAAAAAAATTATCTTTAATTCCTATTCCATAACATTCCAGGCGACTCATTCAAAGTTAATGAAACCTAATATACATGATAACAGCATTTAAATCAGAGTTGACCTAAGAGTCCTCAAAACTTTAACATAGACACGTGTTTAAACAGTACGTTGACAGGCTGTGAAAGGAGATAGAAAAAGGAGGGTTAGGGGCATTGAAATGTTTTTCCCAGGAAAAAAACCGTGGCGAGTTATCAAAATTAGCCCTAGATGGATTTAGGGGGGGGGGGGNGGGGGGTGATGTGTGTGGGGGGGTGATGTGTGTGGGGGGTTGATGTGTGTGGGGGGGTGATGTGTGTGGGGGGGTGATGTGAACGGTAATGCTCAGTGTGATAATGTATAACATTACTAGGCCTTATGTTTACAAGTCGTCCCCCCCCACACACCACAAGCACCACCCGTTAAGATTGATATCACACCTGCATTTCAGTTATGATGCATTAATAATTGAGCACAATGGCAAACAGGCGACGCAATGGGGCGTATCGCCTCCACGCATGAGACGGAATCACGTGATCACATCCTTGTGCTATTCTACCCACCACATTATATTGTATTCATACGATGATTCGAAGGTTCCCCAGCCCGCCCCGCTGACCTAATATATAACCACCAACTGTTAACAACAAGAGAAAAGGTTCTAATCACCTTTTAAATCTCATCTCAAATATTCTATCTTATGGCCCTCCCTGGAGAGATGCACTGACGCCATGGCAGCGGGAGAGCCCTTCGTCCAGAAGATATTGTTTGATACAGTTCTAACTAGGACTTTTGAGAGAGCAAGTTCATGTAAAATATAAAGACCTGAGGGTGGAACCCCCTCCCCTTTGTCCACCCTTTGTACGCCCCTGTCACTGCCCACCCGAATATCGCCAATGCCCCACAGAATATATTTTCTGAAAGAAACACTGATCTCTGTAACTGTAAGAAAGTATAATGTGCCATATTGTACAGACTACAGGCCGCCCTATTTACCTTGTAGTAAATACGTTTTGTTTTAAATTATAGTGTACACAGTTTGCTCATGGGGCGCATTTGACTTTCTCTGGAGGGGAGCAGTGCCCTCCCCAGCCACCCATAGACATCTCAAAGAATTACTGATGACGATGACCAGTGGCGATTGAAAAAAAATAACCTTCTGGACAACCCGTTGCTATATTCACAAAACCTTGAACAATAAAGTGTATTTACCGCCCTAGGTCATAATGTCAATTATTCACCACAACCTAATGCCTCGGTGTCCCAATGTGCTACTGGAACTTCCATTTGTGTGTGTGTCTAAATAGATTAGGTTTAACTAACACAAGAATGAAGAAATCATTCGTAATTTGAGATACCTTGGTCCAGACATCCCCCGTCGTCTGTACTAGATTAGTGCAACACATTTCTCTCATGCAATTCGGGTTTTGAACTCATGATGAATCATTGCAGCACTATTCAAAACTTCCTATTTAAAGGTTTGCCCTTGACTTTAAATCAAACTCACCCTTCAACATATGTTCAACCCCTGCCAAGGACTTACTTTGTGGTAGGGTAAGTCCTCCAATTTCAGCAGATTGCTGCAAGAAGATATTAATTTCACTAGAAACACCCCCTCACTCACGTAAAACTCTTGCCTTTCATAAATCCATCCGACCCCATTGACATATCAATTTATTTCAACTCACCACCTCACCTTTACCCTACCTTCATCATCACCATCGCCACTAATACCACCACCACCATCGACATCACCATTCCTTAACTCCAAACCTCCCACCATGCCGCCTACCACAGTATCTGCAAATCTCTCAGTGTTACACCGAGGTTACTCAAACTGTTCTAATGTCATAGGCATCCTGAAGTCCCTCACAACACGATGTAATATTTATTAAGTAAATTTGCTACTAAACTTCATAGAATATAATGGGAAAATACATAAACTGGTTGAAGTTCTTTAAATAGCTGTCATTGAAAAATAAAAGTCATTGAAACAAAAAAAATGTTAGAATCGCTGTTCTTAGTGCAGAATGTTTCGCGTGACCAGATTCAACCACCAATCTCTCCAGCATTCACCCGTCATTTCTTACATTAGATGAAATTGTAGAACAAGATATGGTACAGCTAGAATCAAAAGACAGGACACTAAGATGTGAACGTTTCGGCCTTTGAGCCTTCTTCGGCGAACAGGACAAGTGAAAATACGACAAGAAACCGAAGGCACTTGTTACGCACGTGCTTCTAGTGTGAGAAATTAATCTCCTATTTTGAATTTATGGCTCGTTTAAACAGTGCACAACAAAGGACGACACCACAGAGAAATCTAACTGCATAAATATGACACCCAAAACAGTACCAATTACAAATAATAAGATTTAATTTAGTAATAATACAATTACAAACAAAAGAAATATCATTACAAATCATCAACTTACAGTATGGTACATCTTGTACCGGTACACAGTTAGTACAATGTGCCAATGATAATGATGGATGATCAACTCGAATGAACACGTGTAAGTACACAAAGAATAATACACGTCTCGTGAAGTTAAAAATATCTCTCAATCTCCGTCTCCATCTGAGCCTGTCAATCCCTTTCATATATATGTGGGTCTACCGACACGTCTAGAAACGCCCTTACTTTTCTAATACAATCGAGAACCTTCGACAAGATACTAGTAGACATACTAACCATGTTTAATTGGAGGTCGGTAGTAAACAAGATGCATCAAAGAGATTTAACCACGGCCACAACAAACGTTACTGTCTGCTAGGAGTCTAATGCGGGGTCAAAGAAAGTTCACGCACGTGGAAAAAAGTGTACTACATAACACACAGAAAACACTTTAGAGATCACATTTGTTGATTCCAGACGTAGGATTACAGGAAGTGAAAGAATAGACATATTGGTACTGCGAAAAATAAGGTCCAGACTCTTAACGGACCAAATTCTTAAGGGATACATAATTTTTATAAGGAATAAGAAAAAAAGAAGAAATTCCGGGAAATTGAGAAACATTAGTAGAAGACCATTCAATTTATACCATAAGGAGATATTGTGCCGACAAAATAAATACATTTGTTTTCCATTTGAACTCTCTCTGGTGTGTTTTTACAGAAAATCAGAGCCATGATGGATAAATCAAATGCACCTTTATATTCCTCTCTGTGTAAATGTGAAGAGAACTTTTACCTTTATCCATATCCCGAAGATGTTCAAGGAACATATCTGCTAATCATCTCTCAGTTGCGCCTATTTAATTAGATTGGCATCTGCGGAAGACAATTGCATACATCAGATTACGACTAACGCATATGAAACTCTCTATAATGCTAAAGGTACCTTTAGGGGTTTAAACTAAAAGTATAACGTTCAGCTTATAATGTATCTCAACAGATGGAAAGAAATATGGCTTATCAGATGCCTATTACTTCCGATATTTGATAAATATAGAATATATTAAATTGTGTATGATTGTATGCAAAGGATTCTATCATCCAACGGAGGTTATTCACAATCATTTTATTTGATGAATGACTTTTTAGAGGAAAAAAAATAAGGCTGCGTCTATAGATACCCGGGTAACTATAATCGCCAATTCGCACCCAGAGTGGCTCCTTACAGATTAAATGGCCTCGGAGCCTGGTGTGATAACAATAATAGTAGAGAATTAATTAATTTTTTAAAATTTTTCTCCTTGTTATTTCATAGATTTATAGTTTTATTCTATTCTTTATTTTTTATTTTTGCTTTGTTAATTGAAGATGATTTAGATACATTTATTGTTTTCATTTGAATTTTAGAAAAGTAATTAATTATATAAATTTAATTATTATGTGTACCGGTGTTGTTTAAGTTAAAAGATTTAATCACATATGAATTAATTAGGTATTCTAAATAATGAAAATGTCATTCATAATGAAATAATTTCAACTATTCCTCTAGAGAGCTTGGCTTAGTCAGAACAAAACCACCAAAATTTTAAACTTTTCCCCTGGCACTGGGAGTCATACATGCGGACACTGACTGTTTTTCCTGATATCTCAAATCTCCT